CAAACCGTTCGGCTTAGCTGAACTTTCAAATCACTATATGTGTGTGTGTGTTTTAGTTTGCATGCATTTGTATATTTTTCAGTTCAACTTTGTATTAATGTAAATACTTTCATTTTTAACTCATACTTGTCAAGGATAGGCCTTGCATTAGTTTTGTTTCCAGAGATATTATTTTAGCCACAACATGAGGTTTTCAGCACAAACTTCATTATTGTTCTTCCCAAGTCTTATCAATAGATTAATAACCGTTGAAGTTTCCCCTTTTTTCAAAAGCAAAAAAAAAAAAAAAGTTAATGTGGCGGAGGCAAGTCGTGAACTCTTGGGCAAGAGATGTGGTATCATTATATCAATGGGCTGGACCCAGAAGGCCCACATAATCCTTTCCGGGCTTTAACGTCGGCTGCGCTTGAAAATTGGAATCGAGACCATTAATATAATCCATGTTCGGAGAAGCATTTATATCTAATACTTGACAGTGTCTTCAATATGATTGTTTTCAATAAGAAGATATTGTGTCTAAAAAAATTGAGATTTTTCATTCAAGTTGATGATGATAGCGGGGGATTACAATACACACGCCTCAAATGGAAAAGATAAGCAACGGGTTCTGACTAGCTTTTAAATGAAAAACTGATCTTTTTTCGTTAGATTTAACCCCAATAATGATATGCGTCTAATTTTATTTAGATACAGAAGATTCTGAGAGAGGAAATGAACAATAATGCTACCTTGGGAGATTCATTCATTCTCTTGGTTGAGAAGCATACCAGGAGAATTCAATATTGCTTTTGGCAGCTGTTTTTGAATTTTGTGAAAATATTATTGTATATCATATGCTGTGCAATACAGTGGATAGCTTTTGCCTATGTATCCATACGCATCAAGTTATTTATAAGAAATTTTAACTTCTTCCGTTTTCTTTATAAATAGGACTAAAGATGGTATAAATGTAGACTTTTTGAAATTCTTGTATACTTTGGCATGTCAAAATGATGCAATGATATGATTCTATATGGCCTTAAATCTATTGTTTTTATTGATAATTTCATATGTTATTAGTTGATAATATGAATATAGACAGATTTTGTCAAATCCTCAAAGTGCAATGTTTTCATTTGATAAAAGAATGTTTTTAAATGATGATGTTTTGGACACATATGTTTATCTTATGGTTATTATTATTAGCAAAGCTTTCTGCTTGCATTTGATTGGAAAAAAAATATTACTTCCGGTCTTAATTATAAAAACTAATTGACTAATTTGAAGAGATTAAAAAAAAAGTTAAGTTAGTTATTTATAATAAATATGTGTTGTCTTTTCTAAAATATCCTTACTAATTAAGTGTAGTCGTTAGAACTGCCATTGTTAGAAGGACTACTTTGAAAAAAATGCATAAATACGATAGACAAAGTGGATTAGGATCTTATATTTAGAATCAAAATAAAAGTCAAATAAGATCTTATATTAAGGATCGGAGGTAGTATAATACTTACTATATATCTCGTTATATTGTAATAATTCAATTCCAGCTATTATTTTTATACTATTTTTTATTTTACGGACATGAAAGATATCTTTTCAACTTATATAAAATTAACTTTTTCTCTCTATTTTTCCTCCGTTTCATTCCATTTGTACGTCAAAGGTTGAGATGTTTCTTGTTTTTCTCCCCCCCCCCCCCCCAAAAAAAAAAACAGACGTTTCTTGTTAGCTTCTTACCTTCCTCAATAGAAATTTCATGTAAAAAGAACTACTTTAAATGAGCCGACATAATATATTGAAATCTGAAATACTTATCTCAAAAATAATTTCAAAAATTATATAAATTTCAAGCAAGCCTTACTCTTATCTAATTTTCCCAATAGTTATTAATGTTTTTCTAAGTAATTCTTTCTTAGCTTAGATTTATTGTCGTAATGCAGGGGAATTAAACTCAAGGAAACTATAAATTAACTCGAAGTTCATCAGGAGCTAACCCCAGTTTAACGTTTCAGATCAGAGAATAACAACCTATCTTCTTGACTGCCAAGTCATGAAGTTGCCCTCTTTTGATGATGAAGACTATCAAGACTATCAAGTATCAATCCCTCCTTCCTGGAAATTGCATGGCATCCACAGACACGCCTACTCGTTAATTAGCCGCGCTTTTTGACTGAAAGTCATCAAGTGGCACACTTTTGACTAAAGAATTAATTACATCCTTCCAGGAAATTACTAAGCCTGTCAAAACATCACCGCGCAGCTTGTTTCTTCTTCCACTCATCCGCGTAGCATATTACTTGTTTTCGTATGATTTTCGTATGATCATTAGAAAACTTAATATAATGTATACAAGTAACTTGATCTAAATTTTTTTCTTCATACTATACTATGTTTTATGTGGACTGTGGATCATTAATTTTTTCACCAAATTATTTCTCGTTAATCCCAACCCTTCCTAACTAATTAACCTCTTCTTATGGATGCTTTTGTGCTTTTTATTGAAGGTAATTTTGATATTTTACTAAAAAAAAGCTAATTTTATGAACTCATGTAAAACCATTATTACGTACTTATAATTAAAATCAAAAGTTGTTACCCTTTTTGTTAATTTGAAACTTATATACAACTCTAAGGCATTTGCTATAAATAAATAAAAATCACAATAAAAAATATTTATTTTTTAATAGTTTAAATATGCTATGTTTATTTTCTAACTGCATGCCCCTTCCTCTCGTGTTTATATATGACATTATAACTTAAATCAAAAGGCATATTAGAGTATTTCCCGGAAAATGCATGTTAAAGTAGTAAAGTCGGACTTGATTCTACATTTAATCATCATTTAGCTTTCTTTTTAGTTCATATAGAAATGATTAAATTAATGATTCCATTACTTCATAAAAAAATGATTCCATTTTTATTTTTTTTTATACCCTGGCTTAATTTTCTTCCAAGGGGCAACTTTCATCGGATCCCCTCAAGTTTAAACTACGCCGATAATTTTTTAAATTTTCAAAGTTTGAAAATAGACACCGATAATGAATTAATTGATAACAATAACGTATCTTCCTATATAAGTAAAAAAAAATATATTATCACGAGTATTATATTTTTCACAAGTTATAACAAAAAAATTAAAAAAAAATTTATAGACAACATTCAAAAATTAAAAAGTTGTTTGCATATCTGTGTCTTTACTTTATCTTTTTCCCCGCAAAAACCAAAAAGTTAAGCATAAGAATTCTGGCTAGTTTGGAGGGAGGAAAACTCAAACATACGCGCGTTAGTCTTAAAAGAAGTGTATTTATTAATGAGATTAGGTTTAGTAGAGAGAGCTGATTTCTGTTGAAAGAAATGTCCATATTTAGTATCCAATACCTATGTCTAGCCTGAAAAAAAAAGGATTCATGTGAAATAATTGACAAGTATCCTGTTTGGTGGGCTTACTTAATGATCAAAACTTGAAAGCGGGGCAATCATTAGAGGGAGATCAAACTGAAGAAGCAAATAAACGTAAGCAATTGACCAATTAAGTTAGCATAGAAGAGAGATTAATTAATAATGATAATAAGTTAAATTAATTTGGGTATGAGTGAGGATGAATAAACTGATGGATAATGATGGCAGTGGACCATAAGTCACATGCCTCAAACGAAAAAGGAATGGAAAGATGTGTGATTGCTTTATGTTGTGTATGTAAGTCTCGAGGAGAATTTACATTACATTATATACATATATATATAGGAAGAGCATGTGAACGCGCTTTAATTTGATGTGAGAGCAAAATAACGATGATAGTACTTTAATTGGGAGCGTCAATTATTTCTGCCCATGATTGAACAAGGAATGAAATTTCCTGAACTAATGATCCAAGATAGGTAAATGATTAGTATTACGTTCGGTTTGGGAAGAAATCATCATACAAATCATTTAATTTTTCTTAATTAATTACCCTTTCCAAGGATGGTTTTGTTCATGGATAAGGATGAGCAAAATAGGAATTTTCAGGGTAAAAATACTGTTAAATGAGCTGACTTCATATTCATCCAATTACATAAAAGTTGCTTTGTTTATGGTTAAGTTTTGGTTCCCAACTCAAATGTTAGGTCTAAATGATTCGAAATGATAACTAAATTATATACACAATTCAAGCCTCACGAAACGCGTCATAAAACTTCCATTGAATAATCAAACTGTTCGGTTTAGCTGAACTTTCAAATCATTATATATATGTGTGTGTTTTAGTTTCCATGCATTTGCATATTTTTCAGTTCAACTTTGTATTAATATAAATTCTTTCATTTTTAGCTCATCATTGTCAAGGATAGGCCGTGCATTAGTTTTGTTTCCAGAGATATTATTTTAGCCACGAAAATGGAATTAGATTTAAACATGAGGTTTCAGCACATGCTTCATTATTGTTCTTCCAAGCCTTATCAATAGATTAATCGTTGAAGTGTCCCCTTTTTTCAAAAGAGGGAAGAAACAAAAATTAGTTTGTTGGGGGCAAGTCGTGAGCTCTTGGGCAGGAGATGTGGAATCATTATATCAATGTGGAATCATTATTCTTTCTTAGCTTGGATTTATTGTTGTAAGGCAGGGGAGTTAAACCCAAGGAAACTGGAAATTAACTTGAAGTTCATCAGTAACTAACGTCAGTTTAACGTTTTAGATTAGAGAATAACAACCTATCTTCTTGACTACCAAGTCATAAAGTTGCACTCTTTTGATGATGAAGACCATCAATCCCTCATTCCTGGAAATTGCATGGCATCCACATACGCGCCTACTCGTTAATTAGCCTCACTTATTTGACTCAAAGTCATAAAGTGGCACACTTTTGACTAAAGAATTAATTACATCCTTCAAGGAAATTACTAAGCCTATCAAAACATAACCGCGTAGCCTGTTTCTTCTTCTTCACTCATCTGCATCTTCTGATACTCCGTCTCTGATTCATTTCCAAAAAGTTCTCAATACTACACAGTGCTCTCCCTGCTGCTCAATCAGATAGAGATATGGCCCTTCTTGCTGCTTCATCCTCTTTCTCTGCTCAATCCGTCCCCAAGAAGAATGATGTTTTCATCAGCTTTAGGGGTGAGGACACTCGCTCCAACTTCACCAGCCATCTTTATGATGCTTTCTGCAGAAAACAAATCAGAACCTACATAGACTACCAACTCGTGAAAGGAGATGAGATCTCACCATCACTTCTGCAAGCTATCGAGGATTCATATGTATCAGTGGTGGTGTTATCTGAAAATTATGCTTCTTCGAGATGGTGCTTGGATGAACTCGTCCATATACTCCATTGCAAAAGAGTTCAAGGACAGATTGTTATTCCTGTCTTCTATGGAGTCGACCCATCTCATGTACGCAAGCAGACTGGCCTTTACAAGCAAGCATTTGAGAGATATGAGGGAGATCTCAAGGTTGACCAACACGAGAGGCAAATGTGGAAGGAAGCTCTTAAGGAAACTGCAAACTTAGCTGGTTATGACTCCCGCAAATTTAGGTAATTAATAAATTGATTAATTTTCTTCTATTCACAAGTGATGGCGTTTGCAGAGATTTACGTGATGGATCAAATGATTAAGACATTCTATTCAATTTTTGGTAAACATTTTGAGGTCTTTATCATTTATCATTTATATTTATACACTCTATACAATTTTTTCTCTGTTTACTTATCACTTATCACTTATCATTTGTCTTTAATAAATCAATTTTTTCTGCTTAATTGCGCTTTTCCTGTTTTGCCTTTTATTTTTCTTATGTCAGGGATGAAGCCGAATTGATTCAAAAGATTGTGAAAGACATACTGCAGAAACTGGAACAGAAGTACCCCCCAGCTGAAATAAAAGGACTCATAGGCATTGAGGACAACTGCATAGAGATTGAATTATTGTTGAAAGATGCCAAAACAAAAACCATTGGAATATGGGGCATGGGGGGTATCGGCAAGTCAACCATTGCCAAAACCATATTTTTAAAATATTCTTCCCATTATGATTGTTCTTGCTTCTTGGAAAATGTAAGAGAAGAGTCTAAAAATGGACTTAGTGAATTACGCCGTAAATTTCTCTCTCGTTTGCTAAGGGATGATTTCTTTAGTGATACTTCAACCTCTTTTCTTGAGTCGAGGCTTAGTCGTATGGAGGCTTTTGTTGTTCTTGATGATATCAGTACGGTGGAGCAATTAGAATCTTTGGTTGGAGAACCTTTTTGCTTTGGGCCAAAAAGTAAAGTTCTCATCACAACAAGGGACAAGCATGTGCTTAGCAAAGGAGTTGATGTAATATATAAGGTTAAGAAATTGAAGTTCCATCAATCCCTTGAACTTTTCAGCTTGAATGCCTTCAGCACTAGCTTGCCTATAGTGGGATATGAAAAACTAACAAAAACGGCGGTTGTTTATGCAAAAGGAATTCCATTGGCTTCAAAAATTTTGGGTTCATATCTTTGTGGCAGAAGTAAAGATGAATGGGAGAGTGCCTTAAGAAGTCTTGAGAAGAGTCCACATGAAGATATTCAAAAAGTGTTGAGATTGAGTTATGACGGATTGAATCATGAAGAGAAGAAAATATTTCTAGACATTGCTTGCTTTTTTAAGGGAGAGTTGATCAAATCTGTAATCAGTTTATTGGATAGCTTTGGCTTCAGTGGAGATATTGGTATAGGAAGACTTCATGACAAGGCTCTCATAGACGTGGACCATGGTACACATGTAGAAATGCATGATTTAATACAAGAAATGGGTTTACAAATAGTTCGTGAAGAGTCTATTGACGAACCTGGAAGACGTAGTAGATTATACAATTCTAAAGAAATTTATGATGTTTTAGCTACTAACATGGTAAGAAATTCATACTTTCTTTTCTAACCTATACACTTGTTACTTTATGAATAATGTGAATGTAATTACGATATAATTTACTTACTACAGTTTCTTTACTCTCTTTTTTAAGGGATCAAAGAAACTTGAAGGCATAAAGTTGGATGTTTCTCAAATTAATGATGTACATTTAGAAGCTGACATTTTCAAGAAGATGCCTAATATAAGATTTCTCAAATTTTATTCTGCTTTCGGCATTGGCTCAAGCCATGTGCACCTTCCAGAAGGTCTCAGTTTTCTTCCCAATAAGATGAGGTATCTAGAGTGGCATGGATTCCCTCTTAAATCTCTGAGGTCCACATTTTGTCCTGAAAAACTTGTTAAGCTCTACCTACCCGGTAGCCATTTACAAAAGCTTTGGAAAGGAATGCAGGTATGTATAAAATTATTTGTGTTTCATGTTTTGCATTTAATTGAAACTTGTTGGTGATCTCATTTGAACTGTCTATCTTTGTTGGTATAGGATTTGGTGAGCTTACAAGAGATAGACCTTAGTTATTCCAGACAACTACAAAAGCTGCCAAATCTCTCCAAATGCTTGAATCTCAAAGTGGTACGTCTTCAGGAATGCGAAAGTTTGTGCTCTGTTCATTCCTCAATCTTGTCTCTCGACTCGCTTGTTGAGTTGAACTTAGGTTGGTGCGTGAAACTTAGGAGTCTAAAAAGTAAGTCACATTCACGTTCTCTACGACATATCGCTGTGGTAGGGTGCTCGAGTCTCAAGGAGTTCTCAGTGTCATCGGATGAACTGAGAAGATTGGATTTAGTTGAGACAGGAATTGAAATCTTGCACTCGTCTGTAGCGCGTTCAAGTAAATTGGAAAGGCTCAGTCTTAGTTGCTCAACACTTGTGAAACTTCCCGACCAATTATCTTGCTTGACAAGTTTGACGGTTCTTAATCTTCGATACTGTGAAATGATTGATGATTCGAAGCTACGTATCCTTTTTGATGGCATGTTGTCTTTAAGAGAAGTGATGCTGGATGGGTGCGGTAAAATAATTGAACTCCCCAGTAACACTAAGCATCTTTTAGGATTGGAATATCTTAGCGTCAGGGATTGTAGGGGGCTTCGTTCTTTACCAGAACTCCCACCATCCATTGCAAGACTAGAAGCCGATTATTGCAAGTCGTTGGAAATTGTGTCAACTTGTAGGCCATCAAGTGGTAACCCATTAAGCTTCTCATTCAAGAATTGTGCGCAACTGAATGAACAATCGCTTCACAATATCATGGATGCCGCTGCCTATTCTATACGTTATTTTTTATTGCACAAAGATGAGGATGACATAGATCCTTATTGGATTGAAGATGAGGACATAGGTCCTCGTGGGATTTGTGTTCCCGGAAGCAGAGTACCAGAGTGGATCAAATACAGGGCAGCGCAAAGCTACATAATTGTTGAACTCCCTCCACTTTCAGACTCAATGCATTTCTGCTTCTGCGTTGTAGTTGATATTGACTCAGAAAGTGACTGGTTATATCACAAGTTGGAATGCTCATGCTACTTGGAAGGTTTTAATTCGACGCATTCAGTATACGGACTGCTTGATAGAGATTTGGAATCTGGTCATGTTTTTATATGGGATGATCCCTTCATATCTAGAGAGATGATGGATGAAATTAGAAGAAGAAGAAATCAACAGTTGTTCGCTAACATGCAGCTTTTCTTTGTATTCTCTACACTAACTCCTGATCATATTGTCCATAGCGAAACGATCAAAGAATGCGGGGTGTGGCCAGCATCTGTCTCAGAATGTCGGAAATTTGTTGAGCAAATGGAAATTGAGAGGAAAAGGAAGAGGCCTCGGGATGTTGAAGAGCAACAACCAACACTTCGGTTTAAAAAAAAAGGAGTTTGATGAGGATACTCATGCCAACACATGTCCTCCTATTGATGAAATGGATACTCTCCTTTGAGAGTGGATGTAACTCGAACTCCCTTCTTTATTCTTTAGGCAAGTGAGCTCTCTCTCTCTCTCTCTCTCTCTCTCTGTGTGATTGTTTTATCTCTCTATTAGGCTTCTATTTCTGCATTTTCCTCATGAATTAAGGGTACTTATTCTTGACCACTTCTTGAGCTTGGCAAACAGTGGGGGCGGACTATGAAACATGATAACAAAAGGAAAAAAAAGGACAAATTCGATTGAACTTTGGTTAGATGGCAGAAGTGAGCACTAAGTTATATAAAGAAGGATTTGAAAATCTATTTTGAAAAGGAAAAAGAACTAATAAAGCAAGTAAAGTAAGACTGTCTTTTATTCGCTAAGTCGCTAGGCTACTTTTCATACTTGAACAATTTAATTCTAATTAAACTAGCCTCTAGCGTAAGATTCCTAGTTAAAGCGGTTCATTGGTATTTTTGGAGGAATTTGGTAGATGAAAGAAGAAGAAGAAATAAGGAAAAATAGGTTAAAAATAAATTATTATATAATTAAATATCTTAGCCAGCATAGGTCAAAGCACTGAGTTATGACCGGTGTAGGTCAACAATTTAAAATTAGGGGGAGAAAATTGAACATAATTTTGGGTTTGAGGATATTTTTTGAAGCTTACTCACATAAACTCACATTTCCAGATGTTTACTAATTATTCGGTCCCTTTATCCTCAAGTTTCTAATTTTACATTTTATTTTCTTCATAAATCAAAAACAAGTGTTTAGCCTATAATTTGTTTGTCTATTGAGTTAGGCATGAAAGCATGTGCTGAATGGTTTGAAATTACAACAAACCGAATACACAACCTCCTACTTGCAAGAAAACATTCATATCTCTGGGTTACAATGTTATTGGCACTATTTTATTTACCTGATATTAGGAAAATTGAACTTATTCTGCATCAAGAATCTCATTCCTAGAAGCACTTTGTTTAGATTCCTCTTAAAGGTTTGCAAGTTTTGACGTTAAAATTCATTCGGCCAATTTTATTTTTATTTGCTTCTTTCTCTTGACGGAAGTGATTCTTGATTCTGTCAAAATAGATTGTCTTCAATTGTACATTCTGATTAATATAGCGTTTGAGAATATTAATCTTCTTCTTCTTGTGTCACACTCTCACAGGTGAAGTTTCAGGCAAGGGAAAGGAGAAGCATGAGGAGAAATTGAGAATTTAATATAGCTTTTGCTAGTTACTAGCATGCTTTATGGACATAATATTGTATAATTGGGTTGTTTTGTTGATAATTTGAAGTACAATATTTGCATCTTTAGGATGTAAACAACTCAACTGAGGATGCTGTAGATTTGGTCTTCGGATCTTGCCAGTTCTGTGTTTTCATTCGATAAAAAGCGTTTCAATTGAAGATGTTGCTGACATAAGTAGTATCCTATGGCTATTATTAGCAAAACTTTCTATTTTCATTTCATAAAAAAAGGGATATATAGTTTATTTTATCACTCATCATATTATAATTTCATTCTAGTTATCATTTTTATATTATTTTTCAGGACACGAGATAATTCCAAGACTATAAAATCAACAGTTGTAAGCTGTGAGTTTAGTCGCATCCCCCCACCCCCCTAATTTCCACATTTTTTTCCTCCTTAATTTCTCTAGAATTTTCTCCATATTTTTCTCTTCGTTCTAGATTTTTACCCCCTCTAACAGAAGCTACAATGGCGGTAAAATATGAAATTTCCAACATATCAATCAACATTTTAAGACGTACATCAAATAGATCATTCATTAACTTAACAGAGTTGCCTATGTAACCCAACATGCCCTCAGATGGAATATCAGTGACTGACTTGGTCATTTGCCATAGCTTTGAGTCTGCTCCTAACAAGCTCTGCTTCAAAATGGTAAGCTTCTTATGCTAATAAATAAACTCGTTTTTTATTTTTCCGCGTGAAAACTCGCCAAGTCAGCCATATATTTCCAAACAGGTCGAGATACTGAATCATGCTGTCAATTCTAATAAGATTTTGCTCCCAGAACTGACATCAAGATCTTTTTGATATACTTCCTCAAAAATCAGGACAAGTTAATGATAACTGGGAACTGATACGGATAGATTGTTTATGATATGAAGTTTAATTTGAAGTATAGGACGTTGGTCCCAAAAAAAAAAAAAAGTTAAGTCTAGGACAACAAACAGCAAGACAATGTACCTGAACCGTAATCGTTTCAGATCATTCCCACCTTGAGGCAACGAAACGAAAGTGATAAGCACGCCAGGCTCTACTTGAGCAACCCATTCCTTGGGCTCATCCTCCTCCATGAACACCACCGACTCAGTCCGGCCACTCACCGACGCCGGCGTTCCTTCCCCGCTAGAGAGCCCCTTCAGTCTCGCCTCCATCTCCTTTCCCCAAAGCCTTGGGATTGAGTTGGAGCTACCAGTACTTTTGTACGCCCAGTGAAATCTCGCTGATTCTGAAGCCATATCAGAATCAGCATAGTTATGGTTCCTGTTACCATTTGAAGATCCTGAACAGGGCTTGCAATTTCTATATGCCCCAGAAGCCTTCACCGCCATGTCCTTGATCCAAACATCAAATTTGTATAAAATCGCCAACAAAAATATATATTGGGTTCAGCACTGGATTGAAATTTCAAGAACTAGAGAATGGAACAGAAACCACTAGCTCCGAAAGTGTATTTTTCGGGTGCCATTAAGAGCTTCAAGAAAAATTTAAAAAAACGAAGAATTACAAGATTCAAGAGTTGAAATTTTCGGACCACTTAATAAATTACCTGCGCTGTGAGGGCCTTAATGGCCTGCTTGGTGCTGGGTGTATCCGCAGCTTCTTCGTGCTCATCTTGTTGGGGAAGAGATCTCTTGTCATTACGCTGCTTGGAACACGCAATGCAGGTCAACATTTCTGATCTCCTTTCTAGAAAAAGATTTTGATATCACCCTTCAGATATCAAAATTATGATTAATGGGTTGCCACGAAGCCAGCTCTCAGTCAAAAAAGGAAAACACTTTAGCAGAGCCAAACAAATTGAAGATCTGGGTCAACTTGATCGAATCGAGAAAACTCCACGGCTGCTCTGAACCAAAGCACTATGCCATTGAAGTTGAAACCAGCAAACCAAAGAGAGAGATGCTGATGAGGGAAAGACTAATATGATCTATGAAATATTAAAATATACTAATCAAAGGAGTTAAAACTGAAGCATAAAACAGCAATGTCAAAACTTTTCAACGGAGTAGAGCGGGAGAGGATTTGGGTGCTCATCAGGATTTGAACCGTCCAGATCCGATCTGGACGGTTCAGATTTTATTTTATTTTTATTTTTTATTTTTAAAAATAATTATTTTAATAGGTATAGAATAAAAAATAAAAATAATCTTTTAACTATCATACTTTTAAAAAATAATTTTTTCTATTTTAAAATAATTATTTAAAAAATTAAATCTTGGAGAGAGTGACAAGGGAGGGACGGAAGATGAACGTTAGGACTTGGGGAATAAAAGATGTAGCAAGTTTCAAGGCGAGATTTGTGAGGGATTTCGGATCGAAACGCTGTAAAAATCAAATTCCCCCCCCCCCCCTCTTTTAGCTGCAGCAGTAAAAATCTCTCTCCTCTCGCTCCTCTCAAATGGCTAACCCCCCTATTCAGATTTTGGTTCTCCACCATTTCACTCTAGTGAGTTGCATTTATAGTGCAGGCTGGCTAGGGTGGCCTAGAAGCATGACACTTCAAAAGAATGGAGCTACTGTGCAAATTTGATTATGTGATGGACTTTGTGAAAATGAAATAAAAAGGAAGGAAGACAAGAAAAAGACAAGATGTGAGTGAGGTTCTGTATTCCCTCGGCTGATCAGCTGCATTCTTTCCTCTTTATCTTTTATAGGTCATGCAGAGGTCTGCACAGAATCCAAATCCGTAAATTAGGATCGGGCGCATTCTGTATTTACTGGCTTTCTCATGGCAAGGATTAGTATGAATTGAATGGTTTGGATATTGAGCCAGATAAGTTCATGCATGTATTTAATTTTAATTGAGGGTGCTAATAAAATTAATATATTTGTTATTTTATACATTAAAATTTTATATTGAATTTTTTTAAAAAAATTGTTACTAAGAAGTGTTATAATTTAACATTTAAATATTTTTTATTATAACTAAGGTATGTGTATGGTGTTTGCTTGGCTAGAAGTTCCGACAATTTAACACTAAATATTCAATCTTAATGAGTATTGAATTTAAATTAATTAATAACTATCAATATATCGCCATAGTATTTATTAAGCAAATATATAATTGTTAATAATAATGTGTCAGGATAATGGTTGTACTCCATAATATTTAAAGAAAAAACTATCCCTCAATGATGTTATTTTGTATTAACAATTAAAAATTAAAAAAAAATGTTTGAACCGGACGACTAAGCGTTGGTTTTTACAATATGATAGGGTGAAATTGTACACATCTAACATTTCAAAATTTCAAATACTACAAAAATATATTTTCATTTATTTTTCAAATATTGTCAATTATTATTAAAGTATAATAAACAATACTGATTTGAAATTTTAAAATTTAAAGATTTTTTTTTGAAATTCTCCCTTGTACATAACTCCCCACTTTATGTTATATATAAACTTTGAAACTTTAAAATAAATTTCCTAAATTTTTATATGTATGCTGATACTTTTTTTACTAGTAAATTTGTTGATCATTTATCCACGCATATATTAAAGTTTAGGGAATTTATATACACAAATCAAAGTCCGAAGAGATTATGTACACATAAAAATATAATATTAAAGGGCACATTATTGAATGTTAGGATTTATCTATACAAAGTTAAAAGTTTATGTAGATTTATTATTACGTTTTAAAGATAAGAGAAATTATTTGTATATGATTTAAAGTTGAGAGAAGTTTGATGTAATTTGACCTTTTGATAATCATGTAAAGTTCAGAGCAATTTTAACAGTAAAGGCAAAAAAGAAAAAAAGAGCAATTTTAACAGTAGACCACTAATTGAGTTCGATTTCACTAGTTAATAAAAAATATAAAAAATAAAAAGCTTATAAAAAATAAAAATAAAAAATTATACAAAAATGTACTCTTCTGATTCTATTTATAAGACATTTTCAGTATGTTTTATACAGATCAAGAAAAACCTTAAATTTCATTAACTCTTATTTAAAATACTACTATAACAACTTTTCAACTTTATTCCTATTTAATATACATTATACCTTATGTAAATAAAATCAACATAATAATAAATGAAAGATAAAATCGTACATTTATATAAAAAGTTTTTCTTGATGCCTTATAAATAGAACTAAACAATATCTTCTCTCAATTCTATAAATAGTACTAAATGAGTATTTATTTACAAATAATGCTGCTGTGTTTTCACACTCCACAATATACATACACCTCTCATTAATAGGCCCACTCCTTTTTAAATGCTCATTATTTCTGTTTTTTCTATCACTTTCTGAGTTATTCTTTTTATATTTCTCTTCAACGGGTCTTGAAATTGTTGTAAAGAATTTATATGTATGGCATGAAAGTTAGAACTTTTTTTTTTTTAATGTTCTTGCCCTTAACAAGAGAAGCAATGTTGATATTAATATAATATATAAAATTCATTTAAAGCTATAATATCTAAAAAATTATAAATGGTAAACAGAAATATTAATTACAAACTAAAAGTGATATTGAGAACTTAAATGTCCTATTTGCGATGAAAACTCTTAAATATTTAATTATTCAATTGGTTCTTTTTCACAAGAGACAATTAACTGAATCATGTTAATTACAAAATTGATTAAAATTAATTGAAAACAGTGAGAAATTAACCCCAAAAAAAATGGAGATAACCTCAAAATATCTCTCATGAATACAGACAAGTCATACTTGCGACTAATTTTTCAAAATACAATTGTGGAAAGCTTAATTAACATTAATTCAATCTGTTTTTTTTTTTCCGGCCAACAACGTTAATTCCGTCTTTTAAAACTATATGACTATTGTTATTCATTTCTTTTCATACCATACACCCAAACTCCCTTCCCTTCCCTTGTTTCATTACACCTGTCATTTAAGACTTTTTGCACACAAATTAAGAAATGCAATAAATATAAGATATTATCGCAAAAATTGCCCCTCATTCAATGCCTCTAAAAATAAATATAAGATATTATTTGATTTTTATTTTGATCTTAGATATAAGATTCCAGTCCACTTTATTTCTTAAATTTATGTATTTTTTTCTAAGATAGTCCTTCTAAGAATAGTAATCTAACCAATACACTTAATTAGTAAGGATATTTTAGAAAAGACACTACATATTTATTACAAATAACTTACTTAACTTCTTTCCTTAATTTCTTCAAATTAATCAATTAGCTCTTATAATTAGAATATAAGATAGTACAATAATAATACTCCCTCCGTTCCTTATTATAAGAGACAAATAACCGAAGTACGTTGATCAAAAAAACAGTTAAAGTTAGTTAAGAACAATTAATGTATAAAAAGTATAATTTTTTTTCTAAAAATGCCCTCATTAATAAGGAGAGAGAGCATGAGAAAGAACAATTAAATTATTAAAAGAAAGAGAAGTGGAAGGGAGAGAGAGTGTGAGTTGGAGATAATAAATATGGGTAAAATAGTAAATCAACACAAAAAAGTAGAGACAACTTGTAAGTGTCTCTTATATATAGAAACATGACATAAGCATCAAGTGTCTCTTATAATAAGGAACGGAGGGAGTAGTAAGTTATTCCAAAAATATTTTCCTTAAAAAAGAAGGAGTACTATACTATGTATGAATGGCGTGGTGAGCTCAGTAAGAATAACTCGAGCAGAACTGATTTCAATGACGCGATACGTGCGGCACTGGCAGAGAAAATGGAGGGGAAGGTGTGGTTGCGTAGGAGCGCCACCCGCGCCACCCTATGAGTGGGCTACAAACAAGGCGCAGCAAAAGGCATTCACATGACAAACATTAAACAGAGACAGATAATAGCACAGACTTGTTTTCGCTTTAGCTCCTTCCATTCCTTCCTTCATTCCCTTTCTTTCTTCAGCCCCCCGTGCGCTTCTTTTCTTCCCTTCTTTTTCCTTTTTGTGTTTTTCCTCTTATTCTCTTTTTATTTTCTTCTAATTTTTATTGTGACATGTTTATTGTAAAATCCATTATGAATTTTATTTGCAACAAATTTTTCCTTTTCGTCTGTTGAAAATCTAATGAAAAAACGCCAATAGAGTTTCTTCTTAATTACTATTTGGCATTGTCCCAAGGAAAAATGACAGAAAAATAATTCATAAATTTCAAAATGTCTAAATAGTCACTTAAATAAGTAGAATTTCAGTTTAGATATAAGTAACTAAATTGGGATATGTAAATTTGCTAAAATAATAATATTGCCCCTTTTTAAAACAAAAAAAATACCAAGCACCTTCACCGGTTGGCCAATAGCTGATAATTATTTTTTTGGGAATTTTTATAATTATAGTAATAAGGTTAACAAGTTCTTTAACGCTGCTAAGAAGTTCAACATATAGTACTTAATAATAGGTTTTTTTAGAAAAATTCAAAAAGTGACATCTTTAAAACTTCAGTAATGTGGTTAATAAGCTCTGTAACGCAATTAACAAGTTGATATATTAGCTAATAACAAATTTTTCAGGAAATTCAAAAAGTGATATTTTTATAATTTTAATGACATGGTTAACACATTCTTTAACGTTATTAACAAGTTCGATGTAGGAGTTAATAACAATTTTTTTAAAAAATTTAAAAAGTGACATGTTTGCAATTTTAGTAATAAAATAAGTCATGTAGCGATATTAACGAGCCTCGTAGTGCCATTAACAAAATTTCCCTACAAAGGTTAATGTTT